TCTCTCTCTCTCTCTCTCTCTCTCTCTCTCTCTCTCTCTCTCTCTCTCTCTCTCTCTCTCTCTCGCTCGCTCGCTCGCTCTCTCTCTCACTCTCTCTCTCTCAGACACACACACACACACACAGAAAAACGTGAGCGCGCGCCGACAGAAAAAAGACTAAGAAAGCACAAAAGGTTTAGCATTCGCGCTTCATGATGATTGACGACCACGAAGTCCAAGTCATTGAGGACTGATCAGCGGACGATGATCAGACACTCCCACGAGATGCGTCGGTTCATCTCCGATCGTCTCCAAACCACTGTTCCCCTCCCTGAGCCCACTCCATAAGGGAAAGACCTCCGGTTCGAGTCCGTCAACGACGGGCAAGTCATCCAGACGCCGGACAGTCCGATTCGATCAAAATTTCGAAGCGTGTCCGGCCGTCTTGGTATCGTCCGGCTGTATCCGGGCACGTGTGTCCGGGGGTATGGGTGTTGTGCTTGGAGGGGTGCCATGTATAGCCTTACGAGTAGAGGTAGGTAGGTAGTTAAATATGAAAGAATTTGAGAGAAAAATAGAGTGTAGTGAAAAAAAAAAAAAAAAAAAAAAAAACACCTGCGGTCAGGAGGGCTGGATGGCCTGAGGACAAAGGAGCGACAGGGGGCGAGAAAAGAGCGGAGGAGGAGCAGCAGGAAGAGGAGGCGGCGAGGAGATAGACCCGATAGAGGAGGGGGAAAACGAGGAGGAAGAGGAGGACGTCTTGGTATCGTTCGGTTGTACCCGGATACATGTGTCCGGGTATGGGCGGGGTGCTTCCAGGGGAGCCATGTATAGCCTTATGAGTAGAGAGGTAGGTAGGTAGTGAAATATGAAAGAATTTGAGAGAAGAATAGAGTGTAGTAAAAAAAAAAAAAAAAAAAAAACTGCGGTCAGGAGGGCTGGATGGCCTGAGGACAAAGGAGCGAGAGGGGCCGAGAAGAGAGTGCAGGAGGAGCAGCAGGAGGAGGTGGCGGCGAGGCGGTAGACGCGATAGAGGAGGGGAAGGACGAGGAGGAAGAGGAGGAAGAGGAGGAGGAAGAAGACGGGCATGTTTATAGCTTCACGAACAAGACCGAAAAGAAGGGGGGGGGGGGGGGGGGGGGTGCCCGCCACGTGGCGCGCGAGAGGGGGAAAGACGGGGAGAAAGGGGGGGGGGGGGAGGAAGACGTTGAGGAGGCCGAAGACCAAGGCGAGGACGAGGAGGAGGACGAAGAAGAAGACGAGGAGGAGGAAAGATAAGAGAAAGGAGGAGGAGGGCGAAGACGAGGAGCAGGAGAAAGGAAAGAACGAAAAGCGTGGGCGCGCCACGTGGCGCGCGCGACGGGTAAAGACGAGGAAGGAAGGGGAGGGGATGGGGACGAAGACGAGATTGAGGTCCGTTGAGAAGGATGTGGAGGCCGAAGACGAGTCGGAACAGGTGGACAGCAAGACGAGGAGCAGGAGCAGGATGAGGAGGACGAGAAACACGAGCAAGCTCCGACAAGAGAGAAAAAAAAAAAAAAAAAAAAAAAAGGCGCCACGAGGGGCGCACGAGGGTTAAAGACGAGTAGGAAAGGCTTGAGGGGGACGAAGACGAGGTCGAGGTCCTCTGAGGAGGAGGAGGGGCGAAGACGAGTCGGAGAAGGTAGATGTGTAAGACGACAGCGAGGGGGAGGGGTAGGACGAAGAATACGAGTAGGACGGTAGGGAAGAGGAGGAGGAGGAAGAAGTCGTGGAGGAGGAGGAGGAGGAGGAGGAATTGGGAGACGAGCAGGAGGAGGAGGAGGAGCAAGACGATGAGGAGGAAAGGAGGAAAAGGTCGACGAGGAGAGAGAGAGAGAGAGAGAGAGAGAGAGAGAGAGAGAGAGAGAGAGAGACCTGCTGCTCCTCGCACAGTTGTCGCCCTGGTTCTGCCTCCGTCATCGCGGGAGAGATGGCTGTTGTGTGAGCAGGCTTCCAGATTCGAAGGACCTGGGACGGGCGAACAAAGGAGGCCGCGATTCAAAATCGAAGTAGGCCGCCTTTTCAAAATGGCGCCAAAACGTTTGAAAACGGTGAAGGGCATTGAAGTAGGCCGCCTTTTCAAAAGGGCAGGGTGTAGGGCATTCTTCTACACCAACGCGGGGGCGGAGTCCCACTACCAGTTTCCGGTACGCACGGGTTCCTGCCATCCGATCTGAAAATCTAATGGCTGTACTGTGGCCGGTCGAAAACTACTCGGAAGTTAGGGCCTCGCCACACCACTGTCGAAAACGTGATTGTCGATACTTTCTCTTGGACACACAGGCTGCTACGGGGTTCCCCGTATGCCTACAATTTGAGGTGAAATTGAGAGAACAATATAGCTTCAGGGGGAAAAAAAACAAAAACAAATCGCAAGTTGTCAGAGAATGCTTGTCCACACCTCCTGTCGAAAGTTGTTGAATCCCCACCCAGCCTGCTACTCCGATGCTTTCGACAGTCCTCGGCTGCGCCATCGACCTCTCTTCGAAATTGGGTGAGTGGCCGTGAGGTCGGGATGGACTAATGTGTGTCGTACCCTCAGGGGCGTTCGTCTTTTTCCATCTGCCATTCACAAGTGCGTCCACTCTACAGTGCTGTGTGGCTAAACTAAGGGCCTCGCCACACCAATGCCGAAACTACAGTTTTCGACATTTTTTCTTCGCCACACAGACTGTCGAAGAAAAAATGTCATGAAATCTCCCCTTCAGGGTTGGCGCTGGTGAGGGGCGGTTCAGCGCTAGCGCTGGTGCGTTAGCACTTGGCCCTAACGCTGCTTGCCGGTTCGGCAGGCCTCGTCACAGGTGACACCTCACTGTCGTTCGTCTTCACGAAGACCTATGGCCTGGCCATAGTTGATGGTGCCAATGGTCAGATTTGGCCGTCGCCCACCTGCCGCCGGGAACAAGTTGTGTCAACAAGTAAGTGAGTGGGACAAGGAGGGCG